ACAACGGTCACCTCGGTCCGATCAGACGCCATCCCTGTGCCATGCAGCACACACAAGACAACACCACACGACGGTGGCTGCTAGTGCGGCGACCCACCATCCAAATACAGTCTAACAAGACACATGTACGATTTTACCCACCACGGGATGGGATCCACGACGGAGGCTTTGACTTAGAGGCTATCTAAACCAATGGGAACCACGACCCCGAGGCTCGGGATCGTGGTCCCTCACTCCACAAGCTAACCGAACGCTCGGTGACCTGGGGGCGGCCACCAACTCCTATACGCCCCCCAGAACATCAGGAGACGATGACGAAGACCACGATAGAGACCACATCGCACAGGATGGCCGGCGAACCACAATCGTGCCAGCAGTGCTGCCATGGCTGATACAATAGCACCACGCCAGACCTTAACGCGACGTGGGCACAAGACCATGACGACAATCACACCCGGACGTGCACCATAAAACGACGTGACTTGCAAGCCCAGATAGCTAGGCCCCTCCCTTAGGCTCACGACCCCTCGGTCGGGAGAACCTTCTTCTTTGTATGTGCCCTGGTCCTGAACTCTATATAAGGGCAGCCAGGGCATCCTTTATCTTCATCTTCAACACATTCACACTGTAGTAGGGCTCCTGAGGCTCCCTTCAGGCAGTCCATCTCCTAGCTTTAGCTCTCCTACATCTTCCACCATTCTTACACCCCTCATTGTAAAAACTTTAGAGCATTCAAGCGAGGAACACGCACTCAATCATCTCCGAGACTAGTAAACTTATATGATTGCCGCGCTGCTCTAAGAAGATAGGGGGCTGCAATCGGCAATCGTATAAATCCTAGAGCAGCGCGGCAATCGTATAAATCCTCGTGTGTCTACAGAACTACAACGGGGGCTGCACCATCCTAGCATGCAGTTTTGAATTTCGATATTACACAAATGGTAGACAACCGAGAAAGACAGCGAAACAGTCTAGGAAGCGGGCTTGCGCCTCCACTTTTGCTTGCGCGACTCATTTCTGACGTCTTGAAAGAGCGGTCCTAGCACTTCGACGTTGGAGGCATTTGGCTGAGCCTCGTAGAGCGCCCGGTAATTGTAACTAAAGCCTATTAGAATAAAGTAAAGTAAGAATGTAAAATATCTTTGTGCGTCGTGAGCATATTCAGAGAGATTGAACTAAACATAATAAGTCTATCACACATGGGTTGCAATGCAAAGTGAACAGTAGTGAATGGGATGAAAAAGTGTATTGGGCAATTTGTAACCAAAGCCTATCAGAATCGAATGTAGATAGGAAAGTATCTGCATGAGTATTTTATTAGAATGTGAATAAGTTGGACAAAACCAAGAGAATCAATTTTAATTAGTCCTGATACTTAAAATTCTCTTAGAGCATCTCCAAGAGTACCATATTTTTTTTTCTAGTCCTTAGTTTTAGTAAGACGAGAAAAAACATCGCTCCAACAACTCCTAATCCATGCTCCTAAAATTTACGCACTTGGGAAATCCTTTCTCATCACGTGTAGTTGCGGTCACGCAAATATTGCTTCCGGTGCGTATCGGTCGGTCAATCTAAAGGTGGAAGGATGTGGAAAAGAATAAGAAGTAGGAAAGGGTTCATGATGCAAATGTACGAGAGAGGAAGAATATATAAAATTGGTTACGATAATTTGAAAATAGTATAGGATTTCTTATGTAAAATTTTTCTATATTTTAAGAGTTGATTATTGGAAACTCTTAGAGATGGTTTTTTTTTTCTCCCAATATCTTTTTAGGAGTTACAAAACTATATATTTTTGGGAGGAAAAAATATGATACTCTAGGAGATGCTCTTAGGGACTGTTTGGATACTTTTATTTTAGAGAAATTAAAATCTATTTAATGGACTAGTCTGGCTTGGATTTGACATTCCACAACTTTCTAAAGTTTAAATACAAGCCTATCTTAAATTCGTAGGTTGAGAGATGTCAATTGATTCTATAGATCACAATCCTATGTTTCTACTCTACAACTTACAACACGTTCTTTGGCTCGCTCTCCTACAACAAAAGTATCTCCTCCGTAGGGTCAACACCCGTATACAAATATATTTGGCATACTACCATATTAGCATGGGTTCGATGGACTAATATATTCATAAAGTATTTTAGATTAATAAGATTTTGAAAGTATTTTTTCCAATACAATTTTACTCATATAATTTGTATATTTTGAAACTAAACAATTCGTAAGCTAGTGGTCTTTGTAGTCTTTAATATTTTGACCAAATCTTGTCCTAAGCATATCGCTGTGGACTCTTGGCATGCATTTTTCACCTTTGCCGTCCATTTGCTGTAGGATACCAGGACACGCTACACAAATTTGGTGAGGGGTGACTCTCACAGGAAGAGAGGAGTCTCGGAGGTACTACTACTACACGCGCGGAGTCGTCGGTGACAACATACCTTCAGTGCCAGTGCACCACATATGACACGCCACACTCCACAGTCCACACGCACTTCAGTGGAGAACCTTACCAACGGGTGATTCGGTGATCGTCCGATCATCCGTAGCATCAACCTGTTTTCTTTTCACGTGCCTGCTGGCTGCTGCCATAACGAACAAGTAACAATCACACAGACAGGACTGACTATCACACGACACGACAAACAAACACAGAGCAGTGTTGTCAAAAACCCAATCAGAGAGAAGAGAGAGGGAAGAGAGAGAAGCTGGAGGAGGGCAACAATAAAAAAGGAGGTCACCCACGGCCAGGAAAGCGGCACCCCAACCGCCATTATTGGGACAAGAACGGATTACCGGACAAGTTTAATGCAAAGCACGAGCCGCCAGCAAATTTTTATATAGAAGTATGCTCTTTGGTCATGTTCAGCTGGTATTAAAGCCAGCTGATAAGCCGGTTAAAACTGTTTTGTTGTGAAAGAGGAACATTATAGATTCTATCTGATAAGCTGACTGATAATATCGAACGAACGCACACGGAATATGGAGGGAGGACAGAGCCCCATCGTCCCTTCTGGCTTCACGTGCCCCTTTGTTTTGACACAACGTACTCCTAAATGTTAAGTAAGGTTGTTTGTTTGCAGTAAAACATGTTTATTTACTATACTGAAATTTATTGCCCCTTTTTTTGACACAAATAAATTAAGCAACATAGTAAATGCTAAGTAGGCTTGCTTGTTTACAGTAAAACATGTTTATTTACTACTGAAATTTATAAGGATTTGCAGAAACAAAACAGATTATCAAATCCCTCGCAGTTGATCCTCCAATTCGTCGTCCAGAGCACAAGCATTTCACATGAAAATGTTGGATTTCTTTTCTGAATCAGAATCAAATAAAGAAGACATTGACGTTTAAAGCAAGCACGGCAATATATATCAAAATAATGCGACCTGTTTGTCTTGAATATTTGCGGTGCAAGACGAAGATGCAGATACGAAAGACTGAAAGAGACAGTTTCATTGCATGGAGTGCGAAGCGTACATATATATTTATTGTTCATAACACGAAACCTCCTGCCTTTTGTTTTTAAAAAGAAGGTACGTGATTATGAAATGTTAACAAGACATGACCTGCAACCACTGCCAAAGGAATAAAAAGTTCATGCATGCACATAAATAAAAGAAACCGCATGGATTGTCTCTTTTATTAATCTTTTTTTTTCCTGGCGTCGGTGGATGAAATCAAAAGGTTGAAGAAAGTGTTGTATATTAGGAGTATTTAGGCTCCGTTTGGATTCTTTATAGTCTAAAGTTTAGTTGGCTAAAGTTGATGACTAAAGTTAGACTCCTTTAGCTCATTTGTATGGTCTAAAGTTTTGTGAGGTTGGCTAAAATTTAGATAACACCTTAAACCTTCTATTTTGAGTCTCAAGAGCTAAAACGGTTTAAGATTAGCGGCCAAACTTTAGAACATTAGATCAAATAGGGCCTTAGTAGTCCAAGCATTTCCAATTTGCTCAAGAGATCTAATCAGTTCGAGGAAGGGAACAGAACATGTGATGCTCTTCAATTAAACTTGAAAGAAGGATAAGTCATTTTCGAGAGGTAATTTTCTATGTACCACAAGTTCTGTTCCATTCATTATTCTCCTACATAGAAGTGCACTTAGCATCAATGATGAGTGACAAAACATAGTATACTTACCGTAGTCCTGAGATTTCAACCGTGATCTCTGCATGCATCTACCAATCACAAGCCCATGATCATGCTGATGCCAATTCACATGGAACACGCATGGTGTATATGCGTCCTGTTCGTTTGGGCTGGTTTGACTAGCTATGGCTGAAAGTACTGTAGGCTGATTTAGTGTGAGAAAAAAATACTGTTCGTTGATTAATAAATCATGACTTATAAGTCAAATACGACCAACTGAACGTGCTGATGGCATTTCCTCTCCCTTTTTCGTCCCTAAAAAAATCAACAATCAGCGGCCGGTACGAGGGCAATTCGGTCCGCCGACGAGGCGCCGACAGATCGACCCGCTGCAGCCGGTCACCCGGGCCCCGACTCGCAGCGTGCGCGGCGGGGGACAGCCTGTGGACAGCGACGCCCCGAGAGACGCGACGTGGACGTGCACGCTCCCGCCCCTCCGCATCCGACGGCGCAGGCCCCCTCCGTGCCGCGACCCAACGGCCCGGATCGCCCGTGCTCCTCCCCGCCGTTACGTGTGGCAGCTCCCCGGCCACCGGCGCTAGCCGGTGGAAGGCGACTCCCACCAACTTAAACTAACCGAGTGAGAGCGGGGGAGTATGTAATAGAAGAAGGGGGAAGGAAGGAAGGTGTGGAGAGGAAGCGGAAGCAGCAGCACCACCACCACCACTGCGCGGCATTGCAGCGAGGGAGCGGGAGGGATCTGGGGCATGGTGGTGGCCGCCGCCGCCGCCGCTGCTCGGATCTAGAGGTCCGCACGGGCCGATCGGTCTCCGCCGGCCTCGTCGTCGGTGTCGGTGGCGTGTGAATTGGTGTCGGTGGGGGGAGCAGCGGGAAGGGAGCGGAGATGGCGGCCAACAAGGGGATGGTGGCGGGCTCGCACAACCGCAACGAGTTCGTCATGATCCGGCACGACGGCGACGCGCCCGCCCCGGTACGTCCAATGCCGCCCTCGCTGCCTGCTTCAGATTCTGGTCCCAGCGGCGGCTCATGCCGTGCTCGTGCGTGTGTCGGACTGTCGGTGGATCTGGGCCGAGGTGTCAGTCCTAGTGTAACGCTCGGGGTTCGCCCGTCAATTGCGGTCGCTTCTGCGTGTCTCTGCTCGTAGATTTCGGCCTGCCCATCAGCGATGCTTCCGTCGCGCCGTGTAAGTCACCAGATCAGACATGTCCTCCTGGCGATTTCTGAATTGTTCGTGCTCGGTTGAATTCTTCGAAGAGTTGCCAAATCACCAATAGTTATAATGCCGTAGTGGACATGTTTTACCGTTTCGGAGATCCAGTGAAATGCAGCCTCGGATTGTTTAGATCCCACCCGTGCCTCAACAGTTCCTTACCATGGCACCGACGGTGAATTAGATCCTTCGTTGCCCTGCTGTAGCGTGCCTTTGTTTGTGACTACTACACCATTGAATTAGTTCATCTTATGTAAATTCTAAATTACCTTCCTGGCATTTTGATCTTAGCCTCGACTTGTTGAAGACTAGTAGACACTTGATCGCAGGCTGATTTTTCAGTCTGTTGGTCACCAGTGAAGTGCATGGGTGACTGATGTGTCCTCTAATTGTGTAATTCTGTTTGCATGTGTGCTGACTTTGTTGTTGTCTCGCTGATGCAGGCTAAGCCCGCGAAGAGCGCGAATGGGCAGGTGTGCCAGATTTGTGGTGACACTGTTGGCGTTTCAGCCACTGGTGATGTCTTTGTTGCCTGCAATGAGTGTGCCTTCCCTGTCTGCCGCCCTTGCTATGAGTACGAGCGCAAGGAGGGGAACCAGTGCTGCCCTCAGTGCAAGACTAGATACAAGAGACAGAAAGGTTGGTTTCCTGGCAACTTCTTTGGGTGTGTGTGTGTGACTTGTATGATGTTAGCATGAGGGAGTCCACAACACGTGCTTACTTTACGTGAATAAAAGGTTGCAGGCTTGCAGCGTAGTGGATATGCCTTATGATAATGACATTTGACAGCCTAGATTCAGCCTTCTAATCTATTTTATTCTCTATAACAGTAGTTAACGAATTCTTCTTACTTCCTCTTTGATGAAATTCAGGTAGCCCTCGAGTTCATGGTGATGAGGAGGAGGAAGATGTTGATGACCTGGACAATGAATTCAACAATGGGAAAGGTCCAGAGTGGCAACTGCAAAGAGATGATGCTGATCTGTCTTCATCTGCTCGCCATGAGCCACATCATCGGATTCCACGCCTGACAAGTGGACAACAGGTATAATATATGTCAATTCACGTTCATTTATTGATCTGAGTGACACTGTGGTGCATTGTTCGCTACTGCCCACTGCTGCACTTTTGTTATTGTACTTATTTCTATATGAATATGTGCTCTTGCCAACTAACATACTGATACTTATCTTCAGATATCTGGAGAGATCCCTGATGCTTCCCCTGACCGTCATTCTATCCGCAGTCCAACATCAAGCTATGTTGATCCAAGCGTCCCAGGTATTCTATCAAACATCATAAATTGCTTTGTTTGGAGAATTTGTCTGCATATTAGCTGGGATCACTAATATTTCTTTACTATGATTTCAGTTCCTGTGAGGATTGTGGACCCCTCAAGGACTTGAATTCCTATGGGCTTAATAGTGTTGACTGGAAGGAAAGAGTTGAGAGCTGGAGGGTTAAACAGGACAAAAATATGATGCAAGTGACTAATAAATATCCAGAGGCTAGAGGAGGAGACATGGAGGGGACTGGCTCAAATGGAGAAGATATGCAAATGTCTACCACCTTCCCTTGCCTATGATATTATACCTCCTTACAGTTGCATGATATATGTTCACGTTGTATCTGGGGACTTGTGTTGCTTTGGGATGAACTAGTGGGGGGGGGTATGTTATATGAGCATACACTGAAGAGGACTCAGAAGGGCATTAAACTGCCCATTCATGTTAATCAATGACTAAGATAATTTTGCATTTCCGAGTAGATCAAGATCTATTTATCCTTCCTTAGCTAACCCTTACTAATAGTGCACACATTCAGTTATTGTAGATTTTGCTTCAAAGAAATTGAGCTCTCTGTAATCTTTTTTCTGTCGTGAGGGTTGATGATGCACGCCTACCTTTGAGCCAGTATTGTGCCAATTCCTCAAACCAGCTCAACCTTTACCGGATAGTGATCATTCTCCGTCTTATCATTCTGTGCTTCTTCTTCCAATATCGTGTCAGCCATCCAGTGAATAATGCTTATGGATTGTGGCTAGTATCTGTTATCTGTGAGGTCTGGTTTGCCTTGTCTTGGCTTCTAGATCAGTTCCCAAAATGGTATCCAATCAACCGTGAAACATATCTTGACAGGCTTGCATTGAGGTAAGCTACAACATTGCACACGTTTCTTTGAGTTTTTTTTTTTTTTTTTTTTTTTTTTTTTTGCTGAAATGCTCTTTGTGTTGACATTTTGTGTGTTGATATACCTAATTCTAATGTTCCAGATATGATAGAGAGGGAGAGCCGTCACAGCTGGCTCCCATTGATGTCTTCGTCAGTACAGTGGATCCATTGAAGGAACCTCCACTGATCACAGCCAACACTGTTTTGTCCATTCTTGCTGTGGATTACCCTGTTGACAAAGTGTCATGCTATGTTTCTGATGATGGTTCAGCTATGCTGACTTTTGAGTCTCTCTCAGAAACCGCAGAATTTGCTAGAAAGTGGGTTCCTTTTGTAAGAAGCACAATATTGAACCAAGGGCTCCAGAATTTTACTTTGCTCAAAAATAGATTACCTGAAGGACAAAATTCAACCTTCATTTGTTAAGGAAAGACGAGCAATGAAGGTAAACGTCTATCTCATGGTTACATCACCGTTGCTCTAACTTCTCTTATTTGAACTCTGGATATGCATATTTTCAGAGAGAGTATGAAGAATTCAAAATAAGAATCAATGCCCTTGTTGCCAAAGCACAGAAAGTGCCTGAAGAGGGGTGGACCATGGCTGATGGAACTGCTTGGCCTGGGAATAATCCTAGGGACCATCCTGGCATGATTCAGGTGCTCAACTGCCCATTGCTTCAACTGAAGCTTCTTTAGAAATTTGGATGTAATCTGGTTCTTATGTCTTTTTCTATGTGAAATCAGGTTTTCTTGGGGCACAGCGGTGGGCTTGACACTGATGGAAATGAGTTACCACGTCTTGTCTATGTCTCTCGTGAAAAGAGACCAGGCTTTCAGCATCACAAGAAGGCTGGTTCTATGAATGCACTGGTATGCTTTTCTCTCCATGAATTCACTTCTACTCCAGGCACTTTATTCATCTGTTCCATGCTAATTATACCCCTTTCACTGGTGGGCAGATTCGTATCTGCTGTGCTGACAAATGGTGCCTATCTTCTCAATGTGGATTGTGACCATTACTTCAATAGCAGCAAAGCTCTTAGAGAAGCAATGTGCTTCATGATGGATCCAGCTCTAGGAAGGAAAACTTGTTATGTACAATTTCCACAAAGATTCGATGGCATTGACTTGCACGATCGATATGCTAATCGGAACATAGTTTTCTTTGATGTAAGTATTATGGACCGATGGTTGCTTTTGTAATCATCACAACAAAACATTCATGGCTCACATGTTATTTGTTTTGCAGATCAACATGAAAGGTCTAGATGGCATTCAGGGTCCAGTCTATGTGGGAACAGGATGCTGTTTCAATAGGCAGGCTTTGTATGGATATGATCCTGTTTTGACTGAAGCTGATCTGGAACCTAACATTGTTGTTAAGAGCTGCTGTGGTAGAAGGAAGAAAAAGAACAAGAGTTATATGGATAGTCAAAGTCAGATTATGAAGAGAACAGAATCTTCAGCTCCCATCTTCAACATGGAAGACATCAAGAGGGTATTGAAGGTGTGTTCTTGCTGTTAGGCATTTCTTTATCTTACTTTTGTCCTTAGTTCCGATATCTGAGAACAATCACTGCTTATATTGCATTATCAAACATGATTCTCTTAGTCTGATTTCTGGACATAAATAGCAAAACAATCCTTTGCTTCTCAAGTTGGCTGGCTCCTGCTTATCTTACTTTTTGAATCCCATTAGGTTATGAGGATGAAAGGTCAGTGCTTATCTCCCAGAGGAAATTGGAGAAACGCTTTGGTCAGTCTCCAATTTTCATTGCATCCACCTTTATGACTCAAGGTGGCATACCACCTTCAACAAACCCAGCTTCTCTACTAAAGGAAGCTATCCATGTCATCAGCTGTGGGTATGAGGACAAAACTGAATGGGGAAAAGAGGTTAGTGTGACAAGCATATTTTGCTCTCTTTGATTCATATCATAGAGTTATTTAACTTACCATTGTGGCATATGGGATCTCTTTTTCCCATTCGAGGACTCATATTATGATTGTCCTTTTTTATGTTGTTTCAGATTGGCTGGATCTATGGTTCAGTTACGGAGGATATTCTGACTGGGTTTAAAATGCATGCAAGAGGATGGCAATCAATCTACTGCATGCCACCACGACCTTGTTTCAAGGGTTCTGCACCAATCAATCTTTCCGATCGTCTTAATCAGGTGCTCCGTTGGGCTCTTGGGTCAGTGGAAATTCTGCTTAGTAGACATTGTCCTATCTGGTATGGTTACAATGGGCGATTGAAGCTTTTGGAGAGGCTGGCTTACATCAACACCATTGTTTATCCAATCACATCCATTCCGCTTATCGCCTATTGTGTGCTTCCTGCTATCTGTCTTCTTACCAATAAATTTATCATCCCTGAGGTTAGTGACAAGATATCCTCTCTTTCTTCTGTTCAATATTTTTAGGTATAATTCTGTTCTCCATAATTTCTCATTTGTCATATCACTGCTCTACCATGTATAACAGTTATCGCATTGAACTAACAAATAGTACCAGTGCACAACAAGTAGCCATAACTAGTATTTGTTTCCCCTTGGCATTTTTCTTACTCTATGTTAGTCTATTATTTTGAATTATTTCACTTATGATGTTAATGGATGCAAGCATATAGTGTTTTGTGCTGTCATATGACCTAGATCAGCAGAGCTGTATTTTTTTTTTGCTCAATTCCGCTGACCTTTCCATTAATTATCATATTGCCATCTTCCTAATGTTCATATCATTTTGTGATATGCAGATTAGTAATTATGCTGGGATGTTCTTCATTCTTCTTTTCGCCTCCATTTTTGCCACTGGTATATTGGAGCTCAGATGGAGTGGTGTTGGCATTGAAGATTGGTGGAGAAATGAGCAGTTTTGGGTTATTGGTGGCACCTCTGCCCATCTCTTCGCGGTGTTCCAGGGTCTGCTGAAAGTGTTGGCTGGGATTGATACCAACTTTACAGTTACCTCAAAGGCATCTGATGAGGATGGTGACTTTGCTGAGCTATATGTGTTCAAGTGGACCAGTTTGCTCATTCCTCCGACCACTGTTCTTGTCATTAACCTGGTCGGAATGGTGGCAGGAATTTCGTATGCCATTAACAGCGGCTACCAATCCTGGGGTCCGCTCTTTGGGAAAGCTGTTCTTCTCGATCTGGGTGATCCTCCATCTCTATCCCTTCCTCAAGGGTCTCATGGGCAGGCAGAACCGCACACCAACAATCGTCATCGTCTGGTCCATCCTCCTCGCGTCTATCTTCTCCTTGCTGTGGGTGAAGATCGATCCTTTCATCTCCCCGACACAGAAAGCTGCCGCCTTGGGGCAATGCGGTGTGAACTGCTGATCGAGACCGTGACTCTTATTTGAAGAGGCTCAATCAAGATCTGTGCCCCCTCGTGTAAATACCTGAGGAGGCTAGATGGGAATTTTTTTGTTGTAGATGAGGATGGATTTGCATCTAAGTTATGCCTCTGTTTATTAGCTTCTTCGGTGACGGTGCTGCTGCGGACTAAAAAATCATGGAGCCTTTCTGCCTTGCCTGTAGTGCCGGCAAGCAGCGTAAATTGTGAATTTTGCATTTTTTTATACGTGGTGTTTATTGTTTTAGAGTAAATTATCATTTGTTTGAGGGGACTGTTCACACGAACTATATGGCAATGCTGTTATTTATACGCAGGCTGATACATTCTTTGTATTGTGAGCAAACAGTCAGAACACTGTAATCTCTTAGCACAACTATATAAAGCAGCTGTTGTATCATCTCTGTTGTTTCTGATGGCACTGGGATATGTAATCGTGAATCACTTGCAACATTATATTGTTGTCTGATTATTATCAGCTGTTATCTGTAATGTTTGACAAGCATGGAGGGATTGATGCGCCGTGGTCTCTCATGAATTGGGGGAATCAGATGGCAGTCCAGTTATTGGAACTGCTGCTATTTTCTGATGGCTGGCACTACTGTTCCAGCTCCACTAACTGTTGGTGTTGCAATCAATTCTCACACTGTTCGGCTTTGTTGTGATAATCACGATGATAAACGTACATACCATCTGGTTAGTTCACTTAGTTTAGGTATATATCTGATTTAAGAAATCAAAATTTATGCCTCTAGCTTTGAGGATTTAGATATTATTGTAATGAAACTATAATGTGGGGGGAAAATTATCGATTCTAAATCCTGTCTGTTTTTGTTGGCCAGAATTTGTAGCGGATTCTTTTTGGTAAAGGGTCGTATGGGCTAGCAAAGATGCTCAGACTTGTGATGGTAAAAGTACTAGCCAGTGTTTGGATCGTGACCTGACCTGGCCTGCCTCAGGCATGTTGATCCAGCCCTAGGTGTTGTCGACGGCCTGGGTGAGCTACCTAGCCCAGGTACGATTTTCAGGATCATGCTAGTAGTGCAAGTTGCAACTTCACTCACCCGGTGTTCAACAGGATCTTTATTTCCCTTTCGAAAAAGAATGCACGAGTCACGCGCATATATATGTGCGTCCGACTGTGATGCAAGTCATCTGACATGTCGGAATGCATGGTCTGTGGCCGAAGACCGAGATGAGGAAAACCTCTTTTTTCCTTTAAAAATTTTAACTGAAAGCCACAATAGATGAGGAATTGAAACCTCATTTTTCTTTTCAAAAATCTAAACTGAAAGCCACACCCGGTGTTCTACAGGATATTTTTTTCCAAAAGGATGCGCGAGATATTTTTAAAATCCCATCCATTGGGAACCATCTCTTGAATCAAATGATGTGATGGTGACTTGGCCCTGTTCGCTTGTCTTATGAGCGGTACCATTTCAGCGAACGAACAGTGTTTTTCTCTCACAACAAATCAACGAACTATACTTTCAGTCATGGCTTTTCAGCAAAGCGAACAGAGCCAAAGACATTGGGTATATATGACTTCACCCATTTAGGTTGAAATAACCTTTGCCCACAATTTTATACACACGCGAGTGCTTTAGGGATACCTATACGTATATTATACAGCTTCACTCCCTGTGTCACTGTAGTGCGACTGTGGTGTGGGTATGCTGCGCCACCTCATAGAATATATATAATGTAATATAATTAAATGAAAATTAAAACCAGGTCAATACTCTAAGCGAGGGGGGTGTACAATAATGTTCTAATTTAGCCATTCGCAAGAGAGGATAATAATGATTTTATTATATGGAAGTAAGAGAAATAAGAGAGGTATATATTCTACTATTAATTAACAGATAGGTCAATATACAATGTTTTTTTTTGATGAAACAGGAGGGGTTGCCCCCTACTGGCTGTATTGAAACTTTTAAAATAAAGGGTAAATCCAAATACAAGAGCTTTAAACAGTGTTGTTAAAATATTCACGGAAATCCTTGCCTCACATGAATGCTCTAGTCTCAAATGCACAGAACCCATTTATCAAGAAGAGGTGCATACACGATAACTTCATTTATGCACAAAGGGTAATTCAACTTCTGCATAAAAAGAAACGACCCGCACTTTTTTTTGTTAAGCTCGACATTTCGAAGGCCTTTGATTTCATAGGATAGAGCTACCTCCTTGAGGTACTAAAGGCTTTGGGGTTTAGCACTAATGTAGAGAGTGGATAGCAGCTTTGTTGGGCACGACATCATCAAAAGTGCTCATCAATGGTCAACTGACCCATGGAATCGGACACGCAAGGGGTCTCAGGCAAGGAGATCCCCTCTCCCCACTGCTGTTCATTCTAGCAGTTGACCCCTTACAATGTATTATTGAGATGGCAGTTGGTTGGGGCCATTCATGTGAGATTCGCAGAAACATAAATGGCTAATAAAAAAAAAGATTGATCGATTGCGAAGAAGCTTTCTTTGGAGGGGCGAAACGTCAGATAAACACCATGTTCGCTTGATTGTATCAGCCATGCTTATCGGCCATGATACAGTATTTTTCTCTCACAACAAAACAACATCAGTCGGCTTATAGGCCACAGAAACGATCAAGCGAATAGGGTGAAAGTGTATGGGGTCATTCAATCATCGACTGGCCAACGACTTGCTGGCCCAAGACAAAGGAAGGACTAGGGGTTCTAGACCTTGAACGATTTGCAAGGGCGCTAAGACTGCGTTGGTTATGGTTTCAGTGGAAGTTTAGAAACAGAGCGTGGATCGGACTAGATTTACCGGTCGATGATCGAGACAAGGATCTTTTCGCGACATCAACAGTGGTAACGATATGAGATGGGAAGCTCGCCCAGTTTTGGCAATCATCATGGGTGGACGGCAGAACACCAAAAAACATCGCCCCGACTTTGTTCAAGAAAGCAAAAAGAAAGAACCTAACGGTTCGAAAGGCGCTAGCTGCAAGATAATCGATGGATCTCCCACATCACACCTTTAAGTACAGCGCAGGGAATTCGAGAATATGCTATGCTATGGGAAGCCATAAGGCAAACACAACTATAGGACAGGATAGGGAAGATAGTATTCGATGGCCATGGACGGCAGAGACGGCGAATACACTGCCAGGAGTGCGTACTACATTCAATTCCAAGGGACTTTTAGCAAGTTGAGAATTTTGCCGATTCGGAAGGCAAAGGCAGAACCAAAATGCAGATTTTTCGCTTGGACACTACTACATAAAAAAATTCTAACCGCCAACAATTTGATCAAGCGCAGCGGGCCGAATGATCCGATATGCAAATTATGCGGTACTGACCTGGAAAGTCCAACACATCTTTGCAAGGATTGTGTATTCTCAAAGCAAGTTTGGTCCTTTCTAAAGCAATGGCTGGGCCTAACAATGATAGACACAGTACCAATGGTGGGTTCAATCCACAAATACTGGCGTAAGTGCCGCACTAGGATTGACAAAGACTAGATAAAGATATTTGACGGCATAATAATCTACTTCAGGTGGAGTTTGTGGAAGGAGCGAAATAGAAGAACCTTTCAAAACACACTGTTGCAGCCAAGACAAGTGGCCTTTCTTTGCATGCAAGGAAGAAATAGAGTACCAGTTAGCAACAACAAATGATGGGAGAAACCAACAGTAGTCGTAGTGTCTTTTGCTTCTTCCGGCAGGCAAGGCTTTTTTTCTACATCGTTTTCTGTTGAGAGACCTCTCTTTTTTCAGGTTTCGGGTCAGGGGGTCCTTAAGTACAGGGGACGGTCATGAGGTCGTGTTAGTGGAGTCTTTTCCCTTTTGTAATCCTGTGATTCTTCTTTTCCCATCGTGTAATAAAATTATGGCAAAACTCTTGCTGCTTTAAAAAAAAGAAAATACAAGAGCTTCAAGAAACAAAGAAGAAGACAAAAAAAATGAGAAAAATTACACAGGCTTCTAGCCATTGACTAATGAGAGGCTGATAAGTTGTTTTTGAATCCTACTCAAACGGCCGTGTCATTTCCTTTGCAAGTTCATAGTCGATCGGTGTGGCATATAACCATTGTTCAAGTCAGGTTTTGTCACTTTTTTTGGTGATACAGTACAGGTCCAGGTCCGTATGCGGTGTCAGCTGTCAAAGTGTCGTCATCTCAATCTCAGGGCATGAATTGGACGATGTACCGGCTGAGTCCAGAGACGCTCGTGAACCAAATGAGCACGGCGATCGAAGCGGTTGCTTTGGTCTTATTCTAGATTAAATTTTCGTCTGCTCTTAGAGCACATTATAGGAGTATTGTTTAGCCTGTGCAGTGAGCAGTCATCTCGCCTGGATATATATGCAGATCCTTGCGTTGCGTGTTCTCTTTCCCTATGTTCTTTTTCCTTCATATATATGCCCTGCTGGTCGGCTGGTCCTGCTGTTTTCTTTCCTGCTAATATAACCGGCCGGACGGACGTATCTTGTTGTTGCAATGCGACGGAAACTTGAGCCTTCAGGTGAGGTCTGTGTCGCTGTTCCCCGGCCGGCCCCGGCCCATTGGGGGTTGCAAGCATCCAATACACTGTCTATCTACGGCAGAGACAGATAAAAAATCACACGAGTGTTGTTAGTGTTACTTCCCTGCACGCCTCTCTTCTCCGACTCCGGGTAATGCTGAATGGTCTCCTCTCATTCCGCATTAGGGCGCCCACGGAATGCCGCGTCGGCGCCGCGTCCAGCGGAACGGAAGACAGCGACTACTAGCGGTAATGCTGCCTAATGCGCGCAAGCTAGCTAGACATCCGTCACGTCTCACGTCCTTTATTATTTTCTGTGGCCGTGGGCTGTGGCACATCTTCTCCACGTAGTAAATATCTCTGCATCCTCGCAGTGTTAAGTTTATGACCGTCCGTGTCCATGGAATCCTGCGTGTTTCAACTGTTTGCTGTCCGCATGTTATGATGATGACGATGAAGAGAGCAACAGACGAAACAATCACTGGGATGCTCGATCATCATCACCTGCTCATGTGCCAGGAACTCACATGCAGGCAGGTGTCTACTTTATGACTGTTGAGAGTACTGTTGTTCCAGCTGAACCACATCTACTGATCGATCTCAGAGCTCTCGTGGGCGTTCTAGATCAGTGGTTCACGATATATATATATATATATATATATATACACACACACATTACCCTGCCTACAAAATAACTTATTCTGTAGCCATTTTGAGTTACGATAATTACTATGTTAATTTACGAGATTATAGTAACTTCTTGCTAAGTGGTTTAGTATAACGTTATGGTAAATATCCCCATGTGTTATAGTAACCCAATTATCGTAAATATATATTAACATTACCGTAAATTAGTATATAAAATTATCGTAAATGGAGGTGGCTACAGAATAACTTATTTTGTAGCTGACTACTGAATATACCCTCCATATATATATATATATTCATTAATTCTCCACGGATGTGTCTACTTTCTGAAAAACAAATTGTGCGTACTTCCTGAAAAGAACTGTGCGCCCTTTACTTTCTGAAGAAAATCTTGAAAGAAACATAGACAAAACAGATCGAAGACAGCACTTAGTAGATCGATGGAGACGGATCGCTGAAGAAGAAGATATACAAAGGATAAACGCACTAGTCTCGTCTTCCATTCCCACCTTGGTTTATTCTTTACTAAAAACGGGCAGTTTGCTTGCACATCCAGCTACACCCACGCACGCACGCACGCGCATATACAGACTACGCTTGGCCGTGACGACTCGATCCATCGTGCCAGCTGCTTCGTCGTCACTACGACGCCGCCGCGCACATGCATACACAGCTCGATGACCATCCAATGAGTCACCGTCGAGCGCGGTGACGGCATCGATCCCGCACGACACTGACCGATGGATCGGATCCTCTTGGGTAGTCATCAATCACGCGCACGAAATGTGCGACGACGACGACTCCTCGGCGACGCGGATGGCCTGGGCCGCCGTTGACGACGGCACGCCGCACTGCGCGGCCGCCGCCGTGACCGGAGGGGAAGAAGAAGGCACCACGCTGCTCTGCTGCTGCTGCTGCTGCTTGGCGACGACCGCCGCCGCGGCCACGGCCCGCTTGCATGCCCCCAGCTGGACGGCGCCGGGCGCGCGCTGCTGCTGCTGCAGGTCGGCGGCGAGCGGGATGACGGGGAGGTTGTCGCAGTTGCAGATCTCGATCATGAAGCCGTCCGGGTCGTGGAAGAAGATCTGGTCCACGTTGATGCCGCCTTCCTCCACGCAGCGCTGCACGTACGGGATGCCCATCTCCATGAGCCGACGCTCCACCGCCACCATGCTCTCGCACTGCATGCAAACATATAAATTAAAATACGTCAATTGAATTAATGTCATCACCATGAAACTAGTAACATAGGATGTAATTAACATCAGATTTTTACTGTCCGGTAATTAAGAAATTTTTACTACTCCGCCCTAGCTAGGTGATCCATCTGTGACTTGTGAGCGAGGATCGGTGCATGCTGACTCAGATACACTACACTACACAAAGCGCGAGTGATCTTTTATTCCGAGCGACACATCACCATCAGCTACAGTACTAGCTGCTGTCGTCCGATGGAGCTGAAAAATATCTTGTTGACAGCCACCGGCCGATGCGTGCTAGCTGCAGCGCCACCACAAACAATCCACCGTACGGATGCAACAACGTGATAAACACTACGGCACCACATGTTTTAAATCCGACACATCCAAAAAACTAAGCCAGCCGTGATGCATGACCAGATCGAAAATGACGTGTCACTTGCTTCTCTCATCTTTTTCCGTGGTACTATATGTACAGACAAATACATGCAATTATATATAATGTTGAGATTTTTGGACACTAGTACAGTGCAGCCAGGTGTCTCTTTCTTGATTGCCAGGAGTGATACTTGACACATACAGCACCACCATGAGATATAAAGCGCGCGGCCGTTTGGCAGCGCTAATCAGGACAGTTTTAGGCTGGGAGCTACGAGCTTATGATGGCTCACGATTCAATTTTTACCAGAACAGATCGCTCTATAATCACTCCCCACAGTGGTGGCCCCGGCCGGCTCATCTAGAATTAATCACATACGTACACTCTATTCTATCAAAGAATTAGGAAGCTGCATGCAGCTAAGAATCGAAGAGGAAAGGTACGGTGTGTACCTAACAGGCCTAAATATGTGTCCGTGCATGTGATTTGTGAAAGGGAGATGAGGGAAAAGCATCCAACACCTGGTCTGCATCATATCGACAGGACATGGTGACCTAATTAACAGAAGATTGGCTGCCTACCTAGAGGACGGACGTGCATATATGCATATGCATGCATGTGAAGCTCTAGACACTTCTAAAAAGGTGCTACTCTACTCCAATCAATCACAAACAAAAAGTTAAATTAAATAGAGACCTTCTGTAGTTTCAATGCCTGTCATGCACTTGGATAGATTTGGACTATATATATATTGGGGGAACTGCTGGACGTGGCCAGCCAAATTTTAAAGTTGATATTACACAAGTACTATATTAGGACTATATTATTATACTTGGTCTGTATTTCTGGGACCCCTTCTGGCTACTGCTATGATTTCATAATACATAGTTTGAGTAACTGGGAACTACATTTTCAGACTCGGTTCGGCAGCTCTTTTCTGCGGCTACAGCTGCCTCTCACACTCACAGGTTGCTATGCAAACATCAGCTGCTACTGCATGCTACGGCGAGCGCAAACTCGGTAGGCTTGGAAGGTGTTCACTGTCAGATTGATTTATCTTACGCAGCGGATCGGAAAGATATTTGCACTGTGTTGTAAAACTGTCACTACCATGCATGTTTGCTAGAGAGCATGCACGTCACAGTCGACTAGCTATAAAGCGTGCTATACAAGCCGCCAAGCTAACTTCCAGCTTGATTAGATTACCTAGCTCATTACATCCAAAGATCGATTGATGCAGCAAGCTAACCTGGAAGACGAACGTACAGGCACTACTGCCAGTGCCAGCTAGACTCGACTGATCATTCATTGTCGTATAGTCATACGGAACCATGCATGATCTTAACCTAATTATTAACCAGCAGGAGCCCACATCGGCGAATCCTAGGGGATCAACGGGGATCAGACATCACAGGAGGGAACAGGGAAGGCTACCGGGTGCGTGTAGCGTCGTACGTACTACTAGTAAGGAAAGGAAACACCGATTTCAACTTCTCCTTCTCCCGGTGTCCAATCTCCACGTACTGCTATATATATATGCATCGACCAGTTGAACTGAAAAATTAAAGAACCCTAATAACCTGCAGATGTTTGGAAAAGACGTACACTTCACTACTTATACCTAATTAAACAAGGTATCCCCGCTATACCATGCATCTTAGATCGCCAATATATCACTTGTTGCGTACCGTATGGTCTAGGTGTAGTACGTGTTTGGAAAATAAGCCGAGAGGTGTTGCAGTGGCAGTGACTACTGACCTGGAAGGAGATATGGTTGTCCTTGGGGTTGATCTCGCCTTTCTCCGGGAGGCTGCCGGGGTCCTCCGACTGCAGCAGGTGGATGCCGATCCCGTAGTTGAACAGCCTGATGATATCATATACATATATAATAAATCATATGTAAGCAGCAGATCGAATCAGCTGTGTTGTAAGATACTAAGATTGATTGAAGGTACAGCAGATAGCGTATGTATGTACCAGGCGCCGTTGAAGTCGAAAGAGCCGGGGCGGCGGATGGGGACGAAGCCGAGCACGTCCGTGTAGAAGCGCAGCGACGCCTCCACCGACCGGCACACGATGCTGATGTGGTTCAGCGACGCCAGCGGCAGCACGCCGGGCGCCCTCACGCCCCCGCCGCCAACGCCGACGCCGCAGCCCGCCGCCGCCGCCATCGTCGTGCTGCTCACCATCCTGTTGGTTCCTCTCACCGATCAAGCTGCTGCTGCTGCTGCTGCTCACTACCAGAAGGCCAGAGCAGGGGTGTGGTGGGTGGGTAAGTAACCTTGAAGGGAGATGGCAAGCAGCTAGCTAACAGAGCGAGTGCTCTGCTTTTTCAGCTCCTGGACTCCCTGCTACACCTATTACTATCACTTGATGAGATGGAGATGGCCGATGATGGGCTGTGCTTTTGTGTACGTACGTTCGTACGCTGCAACAACAACCTACCACTATACGAGTAGTGCCTGCCTTGCCGAGTGATGAGGACCTGGGCGTTCCACGGGTTTTATAGACGCCGCGCCTCGCTGTGCCTCCCGCCCGCAGGCGTGGCAGCGAGACTCACGTGGATCCACGTCATCCCCATCGGGATCTTTCTACTTCTATGGAGATGAAGCTAGCCATCCCTAAGCTAGTAGTAAAGCTACCACCGTTCACTTGCACCCCGCTTCATTTCACTCCCCGGCCAGTCCCTACTACACATGCATTTCCAGTGTACGTACGTACGACTGTACGAGTTGCTTCTTTTCGGATTTCGTCCTAATAGTATGCTTATTAGTACCTCTAAGGACAAAGGTAGCCTCCTAGTATTACTACTACCATTTGATACAGTGGTAAGTACTACTACTATGCGCGCACCAGGGCACAACATCATGCTCTGGCCACTATTAATTAATCCAAATGAATAAATGGCCTCCAATCAGACACTGTGAATTCTTTATCCATCATCTGTGCCAAAATATGTGGATGTCTATCGGTTTAGACACAAATATCAGTGGGGACCGGTAAAAGAAAAAGTCATAAAATCAACGAAATTTCAGCCAAAATTCGTAATGTTTTCCAAAATTTTTGGCTAAAGTTTAAAGATTCGAATAAAACAGAACCAAAATTACCAGTATGTGTATTTTTAATTTTATTACTAAAGGTCATCTATAGATCTAAAAATTAGGAGAAAAATAAACGGAAATTCCTAACCCTCAGGTGTATATATTGGCGGCCAAATTCGAGCGTCACTCGTCAGGTTTGTACCTTGGCAGCTTGCACATGCTCAGCCGGCTACTTGCGTCTGGACCGTGCATCTACCTGCTGCTACGCGCGCGGTAGAGTTCCAGAGGCTTCCATGGAGGCTGGAGCGGCAGGTTGGCCACGGTTGCCGCGGCCAGAGGATCGGATGACATCTGTCCTCGCCCGACCCGACCGGCGGTGGGCATGGTCGTTCATGGTTGAGGGCAGATTGAAAAGGAGGAGCAGTTTCCACGCCCTCCTTCCTGTCCCTGATCCCTGATTACGGTGCATGCATGCACATCGAAGAACTAGCCTTCCAAGCTGTGTGAATTAAAAGCCTCACAAGACGCGCCGCCATCTTTTGAATTGTATTAGTTATTCAATTATATAATCAGCACATGTGCTGTCACAACCGAAAAATATTCTATTTTAGATTGTGAACAGAAGACAGTAAATCAAGTAAATGGTTTAATGATTTCTCAAAGATTTTCTAATCTTTAGTTAGTTTGTTAGCAATCATGTTAAATAAAAATGGTATTATGGATTTTTTTTTCTAATTAAATTTGTTAGGAGTGTTGCATTCATGGTCGTTAGATAATTTTATCTGCGTAAAAAATGAATTTTATAAATTTGTTTAGGCCACGAATGGATTTTCTCTATTTTAAAACAAAGTTTAAATGTTAAGTTTTCGAAAAAACAGCTTTAGAAATAGTTCACTTATTCTTAATGGTTCAAAACAGTTTTGAAATATTTCCTAAAAAATAGTTTTTAAAGTATTCCAAATAGAGTTCGAAACAAAATTAAGAAAATGTGATTGGAAAGGTTTGAAAATAAATTGGTTCAAATATATATTAAAATGAGTTTGAAAATAGTTGATCTGTTTTCACAATTTAAAAGTTTCGAATGTTTGAAAACAGTTTTGCAATAAGTGTTAGATATGTGTCAATGTGTGTATAGTTTTGGTTACGCTATGACTTGAGTTGTATTAGTGGCTAGGATAGAGTTTGAGTCGTCGAACTCTATATCCTAGGCAGCCCCCTGTTGTAACTGTGAGACGACTTGGCAAATGATTTGGGTGGCGGCAAGGCCGAGCGTCCACAAACACCGGTGTAGATGCTCTTTTATGGGGGCAGCCACCGTTAATTTGTGACAAGAGCTCAGGACATCAACAAAGGAATGGGAATTAATAAAATTTATTAATGTATAGTCTTCTCCTTTCAGAAACTCTAAGCACAATGTGCAGTCAATATTGAAATGCTTGTGAACAATTAACCATTGTGTATTCGAGCGCATAATGGCTAGTTTCTTGTTGGCTCTATACATAAATAGAGTGTGTATTGGAGCATTTTAGCTCTCTTGCCAAATTCTACTGGTGACTATACACATTAGAGCTCAAGAACACACTCCACTCACATATATATATGCACACTTGAAGTTACGATTTGGTCAGATTGTGAGTGATCTAGTGCACTTACATTGGGAGTTTGCATCTAGTGGCACTAGAGAATCGTTATTGTTGCGGATCTTTAGTTACTCTTGGTGGTTGCCACCATCTAAACGGCTTGGAGGCAGCAAGACTGTTGAGCACCGCTTGATGATTGTGCGGGGGATCCAGTGGAGAAGATTTGTGAGGGGCTCTTATGCTCATCCCCACGGGAGATCACGAAGAGCAATAACTCTAGTTGAATTGAGGCTTGTTGGAGTGTCAAGTTGATCGACCTGTTCATAGGGGAGCGCTGACATCGTGGCCAAGCTTGAGGGCTTGTTAGGCTTGCAGAGGAGTGGCGATCCCTGGACTCACCTCAATAGGGATTCAGGTTGTTCGCAAGCAACCGAATTTCGGGAGAAAAATCACCGTGTCGACTTGTCACCCAATTTGTATTACTACACTTGCTCTTTGCTTGGGCAATCTTTTGCTTGTGTAGTTCCTAGAGGAGTCGACTAGTTGAGTAGCTTATCACGTGTATTTGTTTGCCTTGTGTAGCTCGACTTGTTGATTAGAGTAATTCGAGTAGCTTGAGTGTTGTAGCTTGTAGTGGTTCTTTTGCTATTCACAACCCATAATATAATATAATACAATGAATTTCTATTCACAATCTTTCCATATTCACAAAGCCACTTCTCCCAGCTCATTTTTTATTTCAAGCTACGCGCTGTCACCAAGGCACTCGAGAGTTGGAGAACAAAGCACGTTGGTACTTGGTAGTATCCAGTTGCAACTTGCTGCAGCTAGCGCTTGCGGTCATCTATGAGCTCGACGTCACCCAAGAGTCCAGGCAGCTATCGCCAGGCATAATTGATCTTCGACGCAATCTCAAGGTCAATATCCTTGGCCTGGCATCTCTTGCCAAATCCATGGCTAGGTAGCGAGACAGAATGCGATATACAAGAAGGCGATGCGTAGCACCCGGTTTTAAGAATAAAACCAGATACACACCATATGTAAGTTCAGAAAGTCAAATCTCATATTTAGCTACAAATAAAGGTAATATCATAAGACAATGCTTATTACATAGCGTATTAGTATAATGAATACAACCTCAGAGTATAGACAGCGGAAAGACAACTCCGATCTTCAGGTGAAGACTCCAAATCCACATGGACAATTGATTGGTTGACCATAAGCCTAATTCCTCCAAACTCTAGCAATCTGGTACCCATCCGGGATTTTTATCCAAATAATTAAAAAAAAAAAGCAAGCGTAAGCACATATCGTACTCAACAAATATAACATGTGGTTCATAAGGCTCAAAAGGCTGACACTGGTTTAACTGCGATTAGCTTTTATTTGTCACAATTTTTAGCAAAGGAGTAGCAACGAGTTTATCACAATCCCATATAAACACATGATCAGGTAAACATGAATAATGAATAGCATAAATAATTAACCATTAGTGAGCATCTTCATCATCCATATCATTAGTGTTCATCATCTATTCCGTAAGGGTTCCAAGGCCGCTCGTGACCGTGAGCACGGCTAATATACCAGTTTTACACTCTGCAGAGGTTGTACACTTTCACTGTGAGTCGTGATTTACCCTTTCGCCCGAGGTCGCGAGCCTCTTAACCCACTACCAAGGAAGGTCAGCAGGGTTCACTATGAAGCCTTTCAAAGGTTCGTCTAATAAGTTAGGGCCATTAGATTCACTCGGCAAACAGATATAGGAACCCCCTATCGAATGACACAATTCTATCACGGCTATACACATAAGAGTAGAGGTTGTCCTATACCCAATTCGGCAAGCCATTCTTACACCAATAAAGGTAACATCTAACAAGCTAGAAAATGTCCTCATACTGAGCTAAAGCCAGAGCCATATAGCCTTCACAGTTGTACTGTAAGTCCTGGATGATCACTTACAGATAAGTTCTTAGGGAGAGGAATCTAGAGCACTATAAAATAGCCCAATGCTCTAGCCCTCTTGTTCCATGTTGCTAAAAAATATTTTTTAGTGTTTATTGCATATACCATTAGTCAAGTTACAATATCATGGTCTTTAATTGAGCGCTAGCATCATACTATCCAATGCAATACCCCATAGGTATTAAGGTATAAGGTAACAAAGTACTAGGAAATCCTTAGTGGCAGTCAAGCTAGACACATGCAGCATGAATTAAATGATTAAAGGTGTATAGGACAACAAGTAAGATCCCATGCTATACTTGCCTTAAAGCACCGATCCTTTGGTAAGCTTTAATATTCAACGTTCTTCTTCTTCTTCTTGTTCTTCTTGATCACCACGTATATCTCACCGACTGGACGTAATCATAAAGCACCACACAAGCATCCATACAATTATACATGAAGCAAAAAATAGAACTAAATCAGAACAGTACACCAATCAGAGAAAAATAAGTAAAAGAGTTTGAAACACAATGCTACGCATCGCTACGAACACACAGTCGTAAGAAGCACTCTAATCGGAGCTACGGTTGAAAAGATACAACTACC